GCATGTAACCCATCTGGTCAACCATAGACAAATGAATCATGTAGTTGGCTTCCAGACCCAGACTTCACCTCAAACTGTACCTAACATCATGTCAGCCCCCGAAAGTTCAGTGGCAGTGATTTTGCTGTTGTTTTTGTTTTTCGTTTTGTTTTTTTTACACACCTGTGGCCTAATCCAGAAGTCAACAGCTGCTCTCAGGGAAACAGTGTAACACAATTTTTCAGTTCAATTAATTGATGGATCAAAGTGGTGTACACAATATGTAAAAGAAAAACAAACAAAAAAAAAAGAGGTTGGGCTGCAGACCTTTCTCAATTTCTCTTGGGTATAAACATGATTCTTCTGTATTGATACGTGCAGGGGAGTTGCATTTGGGGTATCTGCTTGAATGTGTTGCTTTACTTCTTTAGATGCAGTGAAACCTTTCAACCATGTTTGACATGACAGTGTAATCCAGGACAAAAGCCCCAACAACATCAGATTTTTCGCATACAGTACTTCATCTGCTGTTAATCATTTGCTTTCTTAAGCACTAATCACATATATTAATTAGTCTGGTAAAGATTCTATTGAAACAATATCAGTGATTTCCAGTCTAACAAGACAACGGGTCTATAAACACGCTAGCATCTCTGTGGGGTTGTACTTACAGCAGTGCATTCAGCTAAATTCTAACAGCAGATTGCTAACGTGTTCATAATGATAACATTAAAACATCAATGTTGTGCACATATAATATTTACCATGTGTACTATCTTAGTTTAGGGATATGTCATCATGCTGAAGGTATTATGTCATAAACCAAATTATTTCACAAACTAAAATCTGGACGATGATGGCACAAGATGAAAAGTCAATTATTAACTCATCCTGAGGGGGACGTGAATATGTGTGCCAAATGTCATTTCACTCAAAGTCAACCTGCTGGTGGCGCTACTGGAAAGGTCAGGGGACCAGTGGTGGTGGACCTACCAACTCACTGACATTCCCAGCAGTCCTTGTTTGCATTGTGAAGTGTTTAAAATAGGCACACTGGGATGGGAGGATGTGGAGGCCACCACCTAGCTGCAAGGTATTTTTGAAATATAAAACATTTTGATCTAAACCTTGAAAGATGAAAATGAAGACCAATCTCCCATTATCCTGTTACTACGTTTAAGAAAGCTTTCAATAGTCAAGCAGTTCGGCAACAGAAGCCACACACAAACTGAAAGTAGAGACGGAGATACTCTTGGCCAAGACCGTATTGTCCTCAGTAGTGCATCACACAATAAGAACAATGCAGGTAACAGAATTAGAATTTCACCTTGAGAACCAATAAGGCAGAGAAAAATGGCTTTTCAAGAAAACCGTGTCAGAGTCTGTTTGAGAACCGCCTGCGTTTCAAGCACCTATCTGTCGCCATTCACATAGTTCAAAAAAGGCTTTCTTGTTTTCATGTACTAAGTCTTCTCCATATGAATGCATGAGGAAAATTATTGAATGCACAAAGGAGGTTACAGTTCAGGGCAGTGTCTCACTCCCATGTTCTCACATGCACTTTGGCATCACTTTTTAACGCACTGGGTACCGTGTTAGCATCATTTTTCAACATGTAGGATATTCTGATAGACTTCCTCAAACTAAACTGTGATAAATCAGACATGGTCATCATTGGCCCCAAATCCCTCACCAAAACCACTCATAACTTCTGCCTCACTATCAACAACTCCACTCTGTCTCCCTCCCCACACACCTGCAACCTTGGAGTCATTTTGGACAGCAACCCATCCTTTGAACACCATGTCAATCAAATCACCAGAACTGCCTTTTTCCACCTAAAAAACATAGCTCGTCTCCGCCCATCACGCTCCTTTCTCTGCTGTCGCAACTTTGATCAATGCCTTCATCACATCCAGAAAAGACAAAAGACTACTGCAACAGCATTCTCGACAGCTCATTGTCGGACGGCTCTTTACTGCATGTCATTCCCCCCCTCTCTGTCTCTCTACTGTACTGTCAATAAAGGTATAAAAAAAATAATAAAAAAAAAAGAATAAAAAAAAAAAAAGACTCACCTCTTCCGATTTGCTTTTAATATGTAATAATGTTGTGTGTTGTATATTTTTAGTATGTTTCTGTTTTTTTAACTCATGTAAATCGTCTTTGTGTACCATGAAAAGCACTATATAAATAAAATGTATTATTATTATTTTATTACTATTATTCCATTGTTCTCTACTGCATTAGCGCATGAGTCAAGCAGACTGCAGCCTGTCTGTTGACATGTAAATTTTTTCCGTATTAAACCACACCGCAGTCTGTACCTAACCTTAACCAAGAGCTTTGAGTGCCAACACATAACCATGACAACAGTCTTTCACTAACCTTATCCAATGCGATTTTGTTGTGCGCTTTGTACGCCCTCCATCCACTCCAACCGCCCCCTGGTGACTCCACTGCCGTTAATAACTGTGGCACTTCATTCAGTCATAACCCAGAGCTTTAAAAAGTGACGCCAAGGGGCCCTGACCAAGCATCCGTATGTGATGAGTTGGGAGTGACAATGTGTTGTATTGTTCCTTCTGCTTGTGTGCCAGTTGGCTCTTCAAATTTATTTAAATCTGTGGCATAAACCTAATTAGCGTTGTCTTTAAACATCAAGTTTTTAGGCATTATGGTTTACTGTCTAATATTTGTCATGTCTTAGTCAGGGAAGACATTTATGTGCTGGAACAGTTTTTCGAAACATTTGTTTGATAAATATTTCAATATGGGAGTGATAAATGTGCCACAGAGCCTCGCCAACCGGTTGCATCTGTGAATCTGGCACAAGGGCAATCAGTGGTTTATGATTTGGCTTCCATAACAATGTTTTCTCTCCAGCACTCAATTTCTGTCAACCCCCTTATTTTTTCTTCTCCTTTCCTTCTCACACCATGGATCCCTTTTGAGCTCTTTGTCTATAACCTTCCATTTCCCTTTTTTTCCTCTTGTTCTCTCTCCCTACTTCTGAAGCGTGACTCGCCTCCCAGCTATATTTCTATATCCTTGTGTCCTTCTTGCTTCTATGTCTTTGTCAGCCTTATGTTCACTCTCTTGCCTGAAGCTCTTAAGGTCTCATTCAGTGCATAAAAATAGATATATCACATATTTCATGTCATCTATGTATTTTTGATGTTATTACATATTTGTACTGTGAGGGCTAACACTGTTTAAACAATATACACAAAAGAAAACTGAGTAAACACTTAAGCCTCAGCATATGTTACAATCATCAAAACAGGTCTTTGTAATCAGTCAGTAATTGTACATCTGAGTGTTCCCAAATATGTGGCCATAATTTTCCTTCTTACAATGATGAATGGATGAATTAATGAATTAGAAATATCAGAGTAAAGTCCTGAAATAACCCAGTTTAGTGACTGGACGTGCCACCTATAGAGAAATGAACAGTATTCCAACTCAAATCACATTAATCACAAAGCCAGCATCTCTAGGTGGTCGTGTGTGTGTGTGTGTGTGTGTGTGTGTGTGTGTGTGTGTGTGTGTGTGTGTGTGTGTGTGTGTGTGTGTGTGTGTGACCTTGGTGAAAGGATGTGAGGGAAGATGGGAGATGGGATCCATGACACTGGGGAACACTTATCGCACTGAACCATGAGACACGCACAAACACAGAGATGCATGGACACTGGTACATACAGACACTTAGATGCATACACTCACACAAATTACGTACACACGGGCTCGTTTGCAGACACAAATGAGCATAAGCTCACAGACTGAAAGGGAGCACACTGGTGCTGAAATGATAAGTCAATTACCTGATTAGTTGCTTGACAGAAAATTAATCAAGCAACAGTGTTTTTTTATAATAGACAAACATGAACTTATCTAGGAACAAATGACACGCATTCTCTGGATCCAGCATCTCAATTTTGAGGATATGCCACTTTTCTTTGCTTTCTATGATTATGAATTGAATATCTTTGGTTTTTGACTGTTTGAACAAAATAAGCAGTTCGAAGATGTCAGAATGCAAAAATCACTGAAAGGTTCATTGATAGTTATATTAAAGATTAGTTGCAGCCCTAACACCCACACACACACCTCCCCTCGGCTCCACTGTTCACGTTTTCCAGGGTTATTGTGGAGGCTGTGAGGCCAGTCCTCTGAGGCATCAAACAGATCTGACACAGCTGATACCACATTAGCCTTCACTCTCCTCTTCTTCCTCCTACCCTCCATAAGGCCCCGATCTCCTCCTCGTCTCCTGTCATCTGCCCTCTACATTACTTTACTCTCCTCTTTTCCATCTCTTCTTCAATCTTCTCACCCATGCATGGCCTCTTTCCTCTTTTTCTGTCTTCTCTCCTCAGCTGTCCTCTCCGCGCTCTCTGCTCCTCGTCCTCTTCTTCCCTCCTACTCTTTGTCTTCGTTGAGTGATAGGAGTGATACACAGGCACGGCGAGGGGAGAAAAGAAAGCAGAGAAGTCACTTCATCAACCACAGTCTGATAATTCATCAGCAGCTGTTTAGCGTGCTGCTACTTTGTCTTCATTAGCCGTTGCTGGTTTCGCTTCATTCAAAAGTCATTAGAAAAGTTGTTATCAAAAATCCTGTAACGTTTTCTCCATGTTCTCTCGTCTTCTTCTCAGGTCTTCATTTGGAGGGAAAAATGCTCTCGCTCTGTTATTTTGATATTACCGAATTTCTATTGAATATTGTGGAAGCTGCAGGAAATTGCATGCTCCGTTAAGGCTTCTGCATAGAAATAGAGTTTGTCATGAAATCATTTTTACTGAGGAGATATTAAATAAACCCACTTAAACAATGGATGTGAGATAACAGTGTTTTATAAAGAATACATTAGCCCTTTGAAATGAAACCGTTTCTGCAATGAATTTATTTTGCAGCTTATCAGATATGAAGTGTTTACCACAGTGGTAATTGAGGGTACAGTAGGTGCGAGAGAGATGAGTTGGTTCAAAGTTGTAATTCAGTTTGGTTTTCCTTTACAGATAATTATTGGAACGCTGCATCTTTCACCACCCCGTCATCCTACCTCCACTTTGCCACCTTCCAGGGTGAGACCAGTGCGGACATCTCTTTCTACTTCAAGACCAGCGCACCCTACGGCGTCTTTCTGGAAAACCTGGGCAACACTGACTTTATCCGCTTGGAGCTAAAATGTAAGATGCATCTGAGTGTACACGAGAGTCATTTCTCTCTGTGTTTTTGTCTCTTATTCTCTTTCTCTCTCTGGTTTTTCATCTAGCCTCGTTTGAGGTTTAATCCAGCAGTCGGTGTGATAGTGCTGGGTGCTGCCTGTCACCCCATATGCACACACCCACACACACACACACACACACACTCAGAATCCCATGGACACACAGCTGGATGCAGACACACACACCAGCAACAGCCATTTGCTGTCCTGATTATGGCACACTACTTTGTGTGATTGCAAGAGAGAGCAATTATTTATTTAAGATAATTGGTGTGTGCAATAATTATGTCCATTATGAACCTCTCTTTAACCAAATCACCCATTTTCAGGGATGACAAAACACAAGCTCTCCCCCACACACACAGACATACACCTACACACACACACACACACACACACACAGTCTCTCTCTCTTCCTCTCACTCTTTCTTTTTCGAAAAATTATTCTTGCAAATATGAGCGCTTAAATCTCTTAAAAGTTTGCTTCCACCCCAACACACATACACACACGCGCACACATACACACAAACAAACACACACACATACGTGCACACAAGAAAACATATAGGTGCAGTAAGTGGAATAAACAAACTTTCAGCATTAGTAAAACACTAAAGTTAAAGAACTAATTTTTCCAGTTGAAATCTGTATTTTATTTGCTTACAGGACAGAAACTCATTAAATTAAACACTAGGACTATAGTTTGTGTATTTGACATTCCCAACCTGTAACAGCCCTAAAAATGCGATATAAGATGTGAGAAATGTTGTTTAAATATGTACAAGACAAATTAGAATCAGAGGTGCAGCCTACTTGTTTTTGCACATCTTATCATTCAATCATTCAGTAACTGGTAACCTTCAGTAATGCCTACAGATATTTTAACTGACATTCTGACCACTGAAATGAACAGAGTCAGTTAGGTTCTGTTCAGACCTGACATTAACATGCGTCTCAGGTGATCCAATCACAAGTGGACAGCTCTGAATAAGTCAGTTCACACCTGGCATTAGAATGTGTCTCCACATGCGTCTCCAGTGACCACTTGTGATGGGAGCTCACTTCCCCGCTCTATATGCAAGTAACACGCTCCTGTTTTTAGCCAGTCTGACTGTTCAGTTGTCAATGTGTTGGCGTGTGTGAGAGCGACAGAAAGAGAGAGAGAGTGGGGAAAACAGGGGTTTAGCGAATCATTGCACTGCGCACAGCTCTACACTGAAATAAAGTTTCAGACCTTTGAAATAGTAAAGCATTTTTAGTTCATTATGAAACAGGACGTCAGTCAGTAGGCGGTCTTTCAGTGTGGCCTAGGATGCGTTTGCGTTCACACTGCTAAAAGGATGCAAAAGGATCTCGCTCACACCTGTACTCAAACCTTGTGATCAGATCACCCAAGACAGATGTTAATGCCAGGTCTGAACAGGGCCTTAGATCCTCTAGCTCATCAGAGAACACTCACCACTGTAATGGTCACCTTGAACCGTCAAAACACACAGTCAACTCATAATCGTAGAGTGGTGTTAGAGATCCGGCTGTCTTTGGCAGACTATAGACACTGGCTTGCAGAGAACACAGCCACTAGTCAGGAGTCAAGAGTTTCATTTTAATGATAATAAGGTACAGAAAATGTAATTTGCAGCTCTGTTTGGCATTTCTACCTGCAAAAGCAACAGTCAACTCCAACTGAATGTTATAAGCCTACCACCTGAATGGCTTGAACATTGCTCTGTGCTAAGTATCTTTCACATCTAGCTATTTACCAACAGAATGAAATGGAACTAGCTCTCTGAATCCATACAATGTCATACATAAAGGTTTTTAAACAAATTGTCAAATGTAACAACAACGTGGAAGAAGTGGCGACAGACAAGAGGGAAAACATTTTAAACAACCAAACGGTGGGACAGGTTTTCACCACCCTATTTCACAATCTCTGAGTCCTTTCTGAGACATCCGATTGACATGTCATACAGCAGGTTTTTATGATCATGTTCCAGCGGCTCAAATTAACATCCCAACAGTGGATTTGCTCTGATCAAGAATGTCAAACTCTGTGGCTTCAATTTAATTGCCAAGCTGCATTGTGAAGGGGGTTCCTGGCACAGCATGCCTGCCGATAGAAGACTAATTGCATTTCATTGGGATTCAAAGGGATGTGAACAATTGGTGTCAAAGGTGGAAGCTGACCATTTCCTGCTGGTGTGTCTGACCTGCCATTTTACACCAAAATGCCAAGCAGTGAATGGACACTAAGTTGACAGATGATTTCCAAGCCAAAGTGCTCTTCAAAGCCGTTTCACTGAATGACTGTTAGCTGGTATGTGGACTAAAAGCTCCATAAGCTTTTTGGTTTTATTTATTTATTTTTCATTTTCTCTTGCTAAAATAAAATAGGTGCTAAACTAGATTTTGCACCTATACATACACACACTTTTTCTTTCAGAAAAAAAACAATGTTGCAAACCTGCACAAAAACAACACACACAAAAAAGATATAGCATGTATCTCTTCTGTCACGGCTGCACAGCAGGCCAGAGGAGATAGGAATAGTGTGTGAGTGTGTGTGTGTGTCTCCGGAGGCTTTCAAAATGCCCCCACATCGATTTCCTCTCTCCTCTCCCTTGCTATCATCTTGCATTTTGCCCCACAGCACATATTTAGACACACAATCGCAAAATGACTTGCATGCACTCACACACTCGCTCATACACATAAACACACACATAATCTCTGCCCTATTGCTGGTGAAAAAAACTGTATCTGCTGCAATCCAGTCAGGGCATGAAATGACTAGCATTAAGCCAGAATAGCATAGCTGTGCCAATGCAGGAGCTCAAAGTGCATAAACACACACTCACAGATACACACACGTGACTTTTTACAAAACACACATTACTGTGACCTCAGCAGACTCAAAGTCATCAGGTGGCCATGATACCTCTTTGAATCGTAATGGAAAGAACTAGGCATAGATACATTTGAGAGGCAGCATTAAAGGTGTATTCAGAACCATGTGAACTGGACTGGTAACAGGATTTAGGAACGATAGAAAGGTCCCTAAATACAGAAATGCTTGACTTCTGGGGTGCTCTGTGGATCAGTGGAAAGTATGTTCCATGTTTTGAGTCCTTAAGAGGCTGCAATTTCAGTGATAGTCTTGCCCGAAGGTTATAAACATTTTCAGTCTGGTATGCAGCTGAGAAGTGTACTTTCCCCATGGAGACCTCGGCTTATAAAACTGTATTATTGCCGTTTTTATGTGAAGACCCGACAGACAGAAAGTTTAAATTTTAAGTTTAGTAACTCTAGCTTTTTAAAGTTTTCAGATGCGTGGCTTGTTAAAACAATATCTAGTTATCTACTAAGGAGAAAAGCAACAGGACACCACAAAGTTTTTAATTCAGATTCTTCTTCAAAAACTGTCATAAGTTTATCTTTATCTTACGCTATCTATGGTCTATGTACACTAAGAAATACTCAGGCTTCTTTGCTGTGAGCATGCAAGTTTTTTTGCTGATAAACATGAAAAAGTTTTATTTGAAGAGCCTTTTGGTCATAAAGAGATGCTTGGTTTTTGAGAAGTTGCTCCAAATCTTGTTTTAGCGTCAACAGCAGCAGGTTTGCCATGACATTCTCAATTTCGCTGGCACTTAAATGGAGTTTTCCTCCTTCAAGGGTCCAGACTGTTCCAGCCAACCCAGTAGTAAAAAACACAAAGTGAAAGGCTAACAAAGCAAATGAGACAAATGGCAAAAAAATTAGCTAGTATAACAGAAAAGACACTGAAGAGATAATACACTGCCAGCCATCTGAAAATAGATGAACAACAACAAAATGGGACAAACACATGCACACATATGCACACCCACACAAACAGTGATCTTACATACACAATCTCTTTCACTATTTATCATTGTTTGCTTGTGCTGTGCTGACGCATAATTTCTCCTCTGGCCTCCATATTAAAAGATAATAGAAAAACAAATCGCAAGAATAAAAAGCTCTACTGGGTTTTCTCCAGGCTAACATGCTAGTATAAGCACACACACACACACACACACACACACACACACACACACACACACACTTGACATCCATGACATCCATCACAGCTATGCAAATATACCAGGCAAGGTCTGTGCTCTGAGGGCATTTCATTCCTGCCTGTGGACAGAGTATAAAAAAAGTTGTAGGGCATCCATCCTGCTTTACAGTTCCACTAAAACAACACACACACAATCACATGTCATTTACCATTGCTATAGCAGCATTTCTATAGCTTTTTTTCCATTGGGGGTATTTGATATATGTCTGGCTTTCTATCAGCATTTAAAATAACTGATGTTGCTCTTTGCCCTACAGACCTGCTCTGTGCATACAGACATCATTAATTCAGTGTACTAAAGACTGTCAGAGGGCTAATACTGTGTGTCTCGTTATGCATTCATGAATCAGTTTGTCTGTTTGGGTTGTTTGTTGTTGGTAGTTGGATGTTCAAGTACTATTTCATATTTATTTTATAGGTTAGGCTATAATGCACAGCATATCCAGACAAGCTTTTGTAGAGATGATTTCTAGCATCTTTGCATCTCATCTAAGAGGGAATGATAATGTCTACAAGAAAGGATTCAAGGAAGAGAGTGAAGAAGAAATTAATGATGGATGGGAGGGAGGGTAAAGTGACAGGAAGAAGAAAGCAAGCAGTAAATGAAGAAACAAATGAAGAACACAATGAAGAAATAAAAGTATGAAGGAAGGAATACACATGGAAGGGGGGTTGACTCAAGGGATGTCGGGGGTGGATAAAAGGAGGAGAGAAATGAAAGAACAAGCAAACAAAGGAACAAAGAACACAAAATGAGAAAATGAAGGGATAAACTAACAGGAAAGAGGTAATAAAGAAACAGGAACTGTGTGTGCTGTAACAGCTGCAAGAGGGCAAAGAATAGAAGAATAGGTGGAGTGAAAGAAGATAATTAGATGAAGGCGATGGGAAAAGAAGAAAAAGTATATTGATTGGACAACAGAAAGAAGAACGTGCATTTCCCCATTGACGACTACATAAATTTATCCACTCTAATATTTGAGCCTAATGAAACCATAATGATGCAGTAACATATAGAGCTATGAAGTGGTTATTTATCATCTCTATGACTGCAGCACACTGGTGCCAATAACCACCATATGGCACCACCCAGAATATATAGCTTTTATAAAGCAGCCTCACAGTACCACCAAACATTAAGGAAGCAGTGAAATTGAGTTTTAATTTGACAACTGCAAATCGTCTTTCCAAGAGCAAAAATAATTCCCTCATCGTTGCATCATTGTTGCTTCATTCCCTTCATAGGTCAGAAACATTTAACTGACATTTTGCAGAGGCAAGCATTCACTGAACATCTCGCATCGTCATCTCGCAAACACGGTGAATATATTAATGCAGAACTTTTATTAAAATTGTCAGTCCAAATGATCAGTGTCTTGCAATTAGCAATGATGAAAGACCTGCCACTAAGCTGTAAAATATATTCATTATTCATGTATTCATGCAATTGTTTATTATCTAGTACAGTGGCGGACTCAAAGGGTCTTCTTGGCCTTCAGAGAAGGCCAACCATATCAGCATTTTAAAGTTATATTTAATCTTTCATTTAATAATTGTTCTCTCCTAATTCTAATTTTAGACTCATTTTCTTTCAAGTTTGCTTCAGAAATTAAAGGGTTTCTGTCCTAAAACCATGAAAATGGAGTTATGCAAAGGTTAGTTGGCTCAATCATTAGTTAGGACTTAATAACTTGGACAGAAGGCCCGAGGCACCCATAGCCACATGTGTTTGTTTGGAAAACGGCAGGTGAATTAAGCAATCACATTTTGATTAGTGGATGGGACCAACAATCATTGCCCCAGGCTCAAGGCCAGAGCTATCTCACATGGTTTACCTTTTTCTGTTTCAGAGGTCTAAGCTTGCAGATCAGCAACTTCAGTCAGTCAGTCAGACAGCAGTCACAGCACAGATGGTGAAGTAATAGTAAAAACACAAGGGTACCCAAAGGCACCCCAACCAGAATTTGAAATATTTGTTTTCATGTTGAAAGAAGTGAAGAAGAGGAAGTTGCCAGACTGTCTGCAATGGACTTCACATGACAATTCACAACTTGGAATACTTTCATGTAAAACCCTTTTGATACTTTTGATCAGTGGGAGCTTAAGGGCTAAAGGAATATAAATAATTGAAGAATAGACAGTTAATCGGACTTCACGACTGGCTCAAAGGTAGAGAGTCGCAACCGTTTCACCATCTTGCTTGTTTACAATGCTGGTAAATCTGAATTAATTATACTTTTGTACTCATGGTTTCTGTAAAATGAACTGAATAATAAATATTCTGTCAATATTGACAGAACTTTAAGCATTTATGTCTTTACACGTGATGCTGCACTGTTTTTGCACAAGCTTTAAACTGGTCGCCGGCGACCAAGATGAAAAGAGTGAGTTGCTCGCTGCCATGCAGACTGGTCAAATGGATCTGTCTCATCCCTGGGTTGGTGCTCCTGTGTCGGAGCCTCCATGTGAGACACTTCAATCGGTGACTGTGTGTGAGATTATTTACCTGACTGTATCAAGTTGATATACAGTTGGAGATAAGAACACACACTCAGTCACACATAAACACATACAGAGACACACACACAGATTCTCAGCCTCTTTCTTCAAATTCTTTTCTGTCATGACACACACATACACACACACACACACACACACACACACATACACACACAGTATTTCAAAAATATCAATGAACATTTGACCTGTCATAGTTGAAAGGTGCAGTATAACAGTGCCCCCTGTTGGTTTGTTGAGATATCAGGCTACTGAATTACAGAGCAGCAATAAACCTCAAGGCTTTGTGATGTTTCAACAACTTACACACTCAAATCCACTCATTTTAAGATAATGAAGATTAATCATGCAGAAAAACAAGGCCATCTCGCCCTCTTTCATCTTCTGTCTGCCTTTCCTTCTCTTTCCTGTTCATTTACACAATCTCATTTATTTTCAACTCATGCCAGTCTCCTCTCTCTCTCTCTTTGGCTTTTCTTTCTCAAACAAAACTAAGGAAACCTCTCAAAGTTCAAAAACAGCTGAAACACATGGAAACTGCTGCGATACAACTTTATGTCATGCAAAGTCAACAGTTCCTGGCATGTATCGACTGCTTGCAAGATTAGTCCTGTCCAAAGCTGCGAGCAGTCGCGTATTGCAAAGCTGAAATCTATACAAGCCAAATGAATGGCCTTGAAACAAATGAGCCATTAGATTAGAAATTGAACACGTATTTACGTGCAGCGTGGACTATGACAGAACAGGGAATTATGGGATTTGGAAAGTTGTTGTGTTTCATGTGGTTTTATAAATTTCTTGTAAAACTAAAATTTCTTTCGCTTACACTCTTTCTGCAGCTCCCAAGGTGGTCTCTTTCTCCTTCGATGTTGGAAACGGACCCGTGGAGTTAACAGTGCATTCAGCCATGCCCCTCAATGATGACCAATGGCATCGTGTGATGGCTGAGCGAAACGTGAAAGAGGCAGTCCTTCATTTGGATCAGATCTATCGGGCATCTCGGCTTGCTCCTGCGCAGGGGCACACGCGGCTAGAGCTGTTCAGCCAGCTCTACGTGGGTAAGACAGACACATATACTCCCACTCAACCCAAGCAAATAACAACTCTCACGTGTAAAAATGACTATCATGCATACATTTGATTACAATTTGAACATTTAATATCTGCTTTGTGTAGGTGGGATGCTCAGAGACAAACACACCATAATTACAAACTGTGATGTGTGGAAAGCAAACACATAAGTACACATCATTCCTTGTAATCATAATTGCATTGAACTGTTAATTAAAAAACTTTGTCTGCCATCTGTATTTTCTGTAACGCTGCCCTCAGATACAGACATCCACTGTGAGGATGTCTGATTGTTTCATGAGTTAAAGATGTACCAGCCTTTACTGGAAATCCCTGTGTTCTTTCCTAAGAGGCTTCAGTCCAGCTTAGCCAATGCTAATTAAGTTAATGTTAATCCACACACACGTAGACACATACAGTCGTTTCACACTTTACGATATGCACACAAAAGGAAACACACATCCTCAAAAAATCATCTGTGTAAGTGATCATAGTTTTAATAAAGTCAAAACTGAGCCTCTGTGCCTGCTGTGAGGGCATGTGACTAAAACTTAATTCACTTACACTTACTTAGAGGTCACTTCTTTGATACTTTAATACTTTGACTCAGCATTTATATTACTTTGGATTAAGAAACTATTATAGCACAAAGAAGATCTCAATCCGCCGCCTTTCTTACTCTCACACACACATTCTGTTTCAGCTATTAGACAGATCAAGCCCTTATTATCACACCATTTATGCCTACATTTTGTTAAAGAGGTCTAGTTTGTTCCTTATGGCTCCATCTACCTCTCTACACAATGCCTCTCAAGCTCATCAGGAGTTCAAATGGCAGATCTGGCCAGTTTTCGTCCTGTGCTTTCACTTCTCTGTCTCATTCTACCTTTTGTGCTGAGCTGTCAATACACTATAAACCAAACTCTGGGGCTAAAATAGTTTAAGGGATTTGCGGATACAAGGAAAAGTGCTGAGGCGGATCACAGAGTTCCTTCTATCTCATGGAAAAAGTTCTGCCCAAAGGAGATTGTTCCAAATTCCAATCAGGCATCCCGATGTGATAGCCTTAACCCCCTGATCCCCGTTTATAATATAATTTCATCGTCTCATCACTTCTGCTGATTCGACCGCTGCTGAAACATTCTCACCTTATCATGTCCCAATTTGCCTCTCAGTGTATTTGTACTTTCATTTAGTGAAATGGAAAGGGGTGAAAAACGTTTAGTCACTGTGCGCCTCGAGGCTATGAAACCAGGAATATAATAGCTTCCAGATAGCACCTTGGCCGTCATTTCATTTGCATGCGTGTATCCTGGCTATTCTGCCAAACGAAGGCAGGAGAATGCTTGTGCATGATACAATTCTAGAAACACAAAAAAAATTGTGAAGGATATAGAGATAGAGAAGGAGAATAGTTGAACAGCCACAGATCGACAGCACTTTCTCATATCTGATTTCTAATCCCTGGTTAATCCTTATTTGAGGATTGCTTGGGGAAGTTACAGTGTGACACACAGGAAGTGACACAGCCACTAAAGGGAAGTGGTTTAGATTTGGCCTCTGACACCAGGAAAAGATAGAGATTGTTTTGTGTTTGATGGAGAGATTTGGAAAGAGTAGTAGGGGGAGCCTGCAGGTATCAAGATTTTGTCTCAACTTTCCCGATTCTTGCTTGTAATGGAACATCCTGCCACTTCATACATTGTGTCTGATTGATATTTATGTGGCTGTTTGAAGGTAGTGAGGTAGAAAAAACTATGCGAACCAAAAACCTAAAAAGAATACAACTTGGAATAATAAATGAATAATATAATATAAAAGATGCTAGCCCTAGAAATTCAGTTTGGATGATTCTACATAAGCACACAGTGGACAACTGCTATAGAGCAGTGTCGGACAGACTGTCAGGAGCAGTGGGTGGCCAGGATCATTGTGCTGCTGTGAACTGTCAACTTGACCAGCAACAATATAACAAGCAGGAATGAGTTGATGCAGCTCAGGTGGGACTCTCACGCCTGGGTCACACCGCTTATATCTCACCTGCGTGTGACAGCTACCTCGCTGAACTGTCGCGGCTGGCGCCCAAGTGTGTGTCCACGCTGCCAGTGTTGCTGCTGCAGAGCTGCTCCCAACAGCCAGATCTTTAGACACTGAGTTTGCTTTTGATAATGGCCATCAATAATAGAATGTTTGATTTAATTTCATTATATGAAAAGTGAAGAGTGTTAAGGCTCATTCGAGGTTGTTCACCACACACGAAAACTACTGCCCACCACCTGATGTTCTGTCAACCTGTTCACATAATACAATTAAAGACTACTCTGCTGTAACTGTATAGTACACATGTGGCCTCCACTTTCTCCATTAATGACATGCAACTGCTAAAACAGTTAAAATTATATATACTGTATATTTATATTTAAACATTTTTTTTTTCATATTTGTTGGTCAGTCACAATTTTTTTATTTTTTTTATTATGTATATTTATTATGGCTAACTTTCCACCCAGATTAAGGTAGTCACCAAATTCACAGCTAGTCTGGCACCCATCACATCAGTAAATGGAGTTATCGTACAAAATCAGGTGGTCTGCGTGAACAGGGTGGTCTGGGATGGAGTCAAACTCCCAGCCTGAATTATTGTTTCAGTGTGCTCCTGCATTATTTTGCTCACCTGGGTCTCATATCTGTCTCTGTATCATCTCCTTCTCACTTTCTCAATCAATATGCTCCTCATCAAGCATTTGATTGCTTTAGTGTTTACTGCATGGTGGCTCATTTGCTCTAATGGCCTCGAGAGTAAATGTTATACCATCAGCCTGCTGTCATTTACTTCACACTGTTAACTTTTAGCTCTCCAATTCACTTCATACATGCACATAACTATAAATCTTGCAACATTTTATTCATTTAATGTAACCATCTGTTCTTTTGATTTCCCTCTTGATTAAGGCACACTGTCACACTTTTTTATGATTTTGCATGTTTTTGCTCACTTCTCTCACGGTCGGATTGTTTTGTCTTTCTTTTCTACTTCGGTCTTTCTTTTCCTTGCCTCTGTCACCACGGATCACCATCTTGCTTGTTGCCGCTCACTGCATGTGTGTGACCCCTGTCACAGGGAAACCAGCCTCGCTCACCTGCCAAGACAGTAGGTAACATTTAATGAGTGCATGGACATGTCTCAGTGACGTTGACTCAGAAACATCAAATTCAATTTACAGTGCACACCAAAACACATGTAAGAAGCCAAGAACTCACCTACGGTTCAAACTGTGTGTTTCGTTGCATCTAATTCAGTTCCAGCTCCTGGTAATTAAAAGTTTAGCCAGAATTAATCTTCTAAAATGTGATTGCTCATGCTATTGAGCTGCTACTTTTGGTGATTCATATTACACATTAACAGAAAGGTATGAGGAATTATGAAATGACATTTAGACAAGATGAAACAAAATACTAAATATTAATCCCATTCTAAAGTGTAGACCCAATAAACATGGTGTGGGTAAACACTGTATTCAGGATTTCTTCAGTGTTGAGCTGTAAACAGAAAATAACAGGACGTACCACCATTCTATTACACAATGGTAATGGAAGAACAGGAAGAACAGCAGTGCAGCAGATGTGCAGCCTGTTGGTATAAATGGGGGATTTATCTGCACGATTGGATCAGGCTTTCAAATGAGGAGTCCCGATACACACTGTACTTGCGTACCTTATGTCTATTCCCTCAGCTGTATGCAGTATATAAGTGCATATGGCGAGTTTATTCATTAGTTCATCATTACTCAGTGAAGTAGAATCCTCACAAACACATCCACACAAAGTGAAGGTCAAAAGATCAAATTTTATGACTGCTCTTTTAATTAGGAATTTGGCTGTTGCAAATTTTGTGTGTGTGTGTGTGTTTGTGCTTGTGTGCACTGTATATAGCCTACTGAATATAAAATGTTTCCTCATTAGCACATCATTATAGAGTAACGACTGTGAAGATTCTCAGCAATCTAGGTCCTCTCATCCGAAAGCCTTTTTGAGTTCTACTGAATTTCAGTTCTACTGAAGAAGCAGAATTGAAGAAAGCTTCCAGATGAGAAGTGAAACGTCTTCAAGAACCTCAAGCAAGCACAGTTCCCTTCATATAGCACTTAGAAATTATAGAGTAGCATACCCTTGAGCCACACACATCACACCTCAAAATAACTAGGTGCAAATATGTGTGCGTTTGTGTGTGTTTCACTGCTGTTACCGCAAATGTGTCTGAATCTCAGTCATGTACAGATGTGCTTATCTGTCTTGTGTATGTGTGTGTATTATGGAGACTGACCAACACTTGATTTTTAAGGCTAATACTAATATTGATATTAAGATAAGTAAAAATCTGATGGCATATCACCCAATAAACACAATAAACATTTTTTGATAAATTTGGTTGCAACAAAGAGTATTTTACCAATGGAATATTCAGTAAGTTTAACAAAAGGTACAGTGTAGTAAACTGCTCTGAAACCTGAATTATTCTAAGTAATGACAATTAGATAAACACAAAATAAAATATTTACTGGAATTTTGATTACAACAACAAAACAACACCAACAAAAGATTGCAACATTTTTAATTTGCATCTGCCATCATATTCACCAAAATGAATATATCTGTGTTAAGCCTATATTGACTTCAGTCAGTATCAGTCAGGCTCTGTTAAACACCATTTGTGAGTTTTACAGAAGCTGTGTGTGTGTGTGTGTGTGTGTGTGTGTGTGTGTGCGCGCATATGTGTGTGTGTGTGTATGCGCGCATATGTGTACTTGTGTACGTGTTTACCCTGGTCTCCACAGGCCTCAGAGCCTGCTGTCCGTTCAATCAGGCTGATTTAGACCTGGGTAAACAGGTGGCAGAAACCTCCAGCCAATCAGTGGAACAACATAGATTAATTAACAGGTCTACTAAAAGTCAAATCCTTTGTGGGACTGGAAAGTGGAGAAAGCGTGTGAAAGACCTGCTGAATCCTGATCTGTGAATAATGTAGTGGCTGGAGAGAATGTACATTTATTAATCATTTTATTGTGTGTGTGTGTGTGTGTGTGTGTGTGTGTGTGTGTGTGTGTGTGTGTGTGTGTGTGTGTGTGTGTGTGTGTGTGTGTGTGTGTGTGCGCGCGTGTGCGCGTGCGTGTGTGTGTGCATGTTCTACCTGTGTGGCTAAGCTGGCAGATGTGTGTGTGTGTGTGTGTGTGTGTGTGTGTGTGTGAGGATGGTGCCGAGGGAGGAAACTGTGTGAGTGAGTATATGCTCAGATCTCCTTAACATGTCTTCTTGAATGGATACTTTTCTGTAATCCAAAAGATGCAATTGAGAGGTTTTAATAACTGAAATGCCCCTCGGCTCTTGTTAATGATAGTGTGTATGAGTGTGCACACATACTAGTGTGTGTATCCAGACAGTGTAGCCATCCTCTGTGGGTGTGCTTGTGTACGTTCGAATCTATACCTGTGGGTGTATGTTTATGAGTGAGTTTATTGCCATAGTCATTTAGGTGCACATTAATCTATTTAACACCCCTACTCTGTCCAAGTTAATGGGTAGTTAGACTGTAATGGTGCAAGGCCAAAATGACGATGGAAGCACTTTAGAGGAATGGCTATCGACACCCTAAGGCTAAGCATTAATGCTCATATTGACTCATTCAAATCAGGTACGCCGTGTGTGGTCTGTTTTAAATGCGTGTGTAATATGTAGCTTACATGCATTCATTCATCCATTTGCCTGTGTTTGCTTGTGAGATGTTCATTAAGACACAGTGTTCATTAGGCTGTTCTAATTAGTGAAGAAATCAAACGAGTTGAAGGTTGTTTCAAGAACGGCGTCACAGCCGGAACGATTAACGTGACATCAGTGGCTTCCTCCAGGCGTTAGGATATTAACGTTTCCAAAAGAGATTAAAAAAGAGCCTCTTGCATTCAAAATGACTTCTGTGACTCTGACTTCCATTTGTCCTCCCCTCCTTCTCTTTATTTGTTTTCTTTCTTTTTTCACTTATTTCCCCAATGCTGCATATCCTTGCTACACTGACGCCACCTCCCTCCATTTCTGTGTTTTCCCTCCTTCCCTCCCCTGCTACTCAGGTGCGGCAGGGGGACAGAGGGGGTTCCTGGGCTGTATCAGAGCCCTACGGATGAACGGCATCACCCTAGACCTTGAAGAGAGGGCCATGGTCACGCCTGGGGTCAAGCCCGGTTGCCAAGGCCACTGCACCAGTTTTGGGATGTATTGCCGCAATGGAGGGAAGTGTGTGGAGAGGTATAACGGCTACTTGTGTGACTGCACCTCTACTGCCTATGACGGCCCATTCTGCACCAGAGGTAAGAGGCATTTTAGGTAAGATTATGTCATTCTCTAATTGAATAGGTAGATCATTGGACTGTAAATGCCATTGAGAGTGTGTTGTACTGCTCTTCATCTTCAAAACTTCAACTGCAAGACAAAGTGATCTCTCCTGTTGTGGACTTTCAGGGTTTTCTTTATGTCAGATTGTGTTTCCCTGTTGCCATCTCTGCAGGGTTTTTTTTACAGTTCACTAAGCTATCTAACAGTAGCAGACAGGTGAAAATATGAATATATATTTTTTTTCTTTTTATTCCCTTCTTCAAAGCTAACAAACTATCTCTGCTCAGAATTTTAAGATGACACACGGAGCCATAATCTCTCAGCTAACACCTTTCAAACAACTTTAACCGGCATCTTTGTGAAAGCGTGTTATCTTTTGTTCACAATGCCAGAGTCAAATATCACCGGGGTTACTGCTGCACTAGTCATATTTCAATGAGCTTCATTGTCTGTCAACCCACTGTGATTTTTGCTGTGCTCTGTGATTGTCCTCACTTCCTATTCAGTTTGGAGCTGTCGTGTTGAAAGTGTTTGGGCTTATGATAAAAGGCATCGATTGAGAGTGATATTATGCTTACCCACCAATTCTCCCTGACTTTAGAGTGCACTCACTGAATGTTAATACCGTGCAGATCCAGCGCTGAGAGATCAAACCAAAAAAATAAAATGCAAGTCACTTCACTAAGCGAAAAGGTAGCTGTAGATTTTTGAAGTTCAGAGATGATAAAATGTCACACTGTAACTCTGCGTCTGCACTGTTGTATATTCCTAAACCATCATATTTGTTTCATAGGGATTCATTAGATACACTATTAAAGTTCTACTTCCCGAAACAAGTTTTCATAAAATGCTCAGGGGAGGAGAGCAGCAGTGCTGTCAGAGGCTTTCTGCTAGCTCCCAGTCAGAGTTGATCCCCGACACGTGAATTAATTTGTTTCCTAAAGCCGAATAGTGTTTTTTCCCTGTGCACTTGGCAGGGGGGTGACAAGATGACAGAAAAGCAGAGTGTGTGTGTGTGTGTGTGTGTCAGAGTGTGTGTGGTTTGGAAGAGGGTGACAGTGTGTGGTGATATGCTAGTGTAAGACATGAAAAGACCTCCTCTGAATTCTGTCATAACCAATCAGGCATTTCAGGATTTAGAGAATAGAGATTACTGTCTGTGTGAGGGTGTGTGTGTGTGTGTGTGTGTGTGTTTGTGTGTGTTTATGTGTCCATCTGTGTGTATGTCAGAAAAAAAAAGAGAGGCAAACAAAGGGAGAGAGCACACCCTTGTGTCTGTTTGTTTTTGTGCATGGCCTGTGACGCTCCTCTTCCTCCTCCGTCTCTTCTTTTCTTCCCTTTCACTCTCTGCTTCCGGTTCTCATCTACTTTGTTCGCCTTTCTCTCCTCCTGTTTCCCTCACTATTCACACATGTCCTGTCTTTTTTCTTCTCATATCCTTTCTATCTCCTCTCCCTTTTATAAGTTTCATCCCTTCATCTTCTTGCTTCTCTTTGTTCTACTCTGCTGCCTTTCTAAAATCTTCTGTTTTTTGCCATATCCATGTTCACTTGTTTCTTCACCTTTATCTACTCCTCCCCTCTATTTCCCCTTCTCTATCTCTAAATCTACTCTTCCTTCTATTCTCTTTTTTTCCAGTCTCCTTTTTGCTTCTCTTACTCTCTCCTCTTTCTCTTTTCTCATGTGTTTCTCTACTTGTGGTTTCTCCTTCCTCTTGTTCTCCCCCTCTTCTCCTTCCCCTCTGCCCCCCTGCTCTGCCTCTCCTCTTTGTCCCCTTCCTCTCGTTTTACTCTCCCCCCTCTCAATTTCCATTTCTTCCTTGCCACTTCTGTTTTCAGCTTTCTTTCTCTCCTGCTCCGAATCCCTACCCTTCTCTCCCTGTAATCTCTCCCTATCCACCCAGTGAGTGAAAAATGCATGAAGCCAGCCATAATTGCATAGTGCATTTCCATTGTATCCATATTTACACACTGCTCAGGGGACCCTGCTGTATTATTATTATACACTCTCATTCTTCTGCTTTCCTGCCTTTGAGGGTCACATGGAGCCAGCGTGCACATGTACATACATACGTAGACACACGCACACAAACTCACAAAAACAAATTCCCTTTCTAAAACTTTTTCACACACTGACAAAAAAAAAACACACACAAACATAAAGAGCCTCTGACCTGGGGCAGAGTTTTCTAATTCCTTCTTATGCTTCCAGACAATTGTTTGTGTTGCTGCTGGGCAGCTAGTCTGAGTCTCGCTTCGATTTTTCTCAGCAGGACAGAGAAGGTGGACACAGGTTTCTTGTAGGCCCCACATAATCTACAATTTGTATGAATTAAAATACAATTTTAAGTGTCTAACATTTTTAGTCAACAAACTGGCAAGATTGAGGTCCGTTGCAAGTTCAAGTTCAGACTTAATCTTGTTATAATGTAGGCGTTTACCGGAGATTCAGGCGATTAAAATTAAAACAGGTTGCATCAAAAACAGGTTTTTACAAAGGATTGACAGTTAAGTACATACATACATTTAATATGGTTTAATACATCATTTGTCCCCCAAAAAAGTAATTTTTTGGAGGTTAGCTAGATGAATCAAACTAACCAAGTTAACATTAGCTTGCTAATATGACACGTTTAGAGCGAAGAGTAAAATAGCTATGTTAATAGAGAATGTCTGTCCTAACACTTTAATTATGATTAAAGATTAAAGATTTTTAAATGCATTTCACAAAAATAACACAACAACCAATTAAAGTTAGCCAGATTGACACAATCAGATATTTCCTGCTCATTCTAAATTACATGAATGACAATAACACTAAATAAAACAAAGTATTACCGACATTTGAAAAGGATTATCAGTCAAGTGTAATGGGTTGTTGCCTCTGAAACTCATTTTTGGAAGTTACAGTCTGCTGCATCTTGTGATGCTACAGTGATTCCCTCCGTATGTAGTTGATTGCTCTTGACTTTCACTACAGATGTTTCTTAGCAATTCATTTAGACATTAATAAAATCTTAACTAGCTAAGACATTTCTTAAGTTTTAATAGGGCAACCTGATTTAGTCAGTCATTAGTTTGAAACTTGCGAATAGTTAGGAAGAACTTCACAAACGTAGTAATAGTTTCACAGATAGCTGGTGCGGCCCTATCCAGAACCTGAAGAGTGTCGTTTGAACTACAAAAAAGACCCTGTGCTGTATCCTCTCTGCATCTGAACATTATAGGTAGAGGAGGTTAATTTAGGTTAATTTTAGTCCATTTTGGTTCATTCAATATTGTCTCTGTTTAGCACCTTGTAAACTATCCTGACCCCAACATGCATGGTACTTTTCTTCCAACATAAACCCAGCTATAGGTCTGATTTCTCCTTTTGTCAGTTTAACAAAATATAAAACTGCCAGGAGCCCAGCATATAAGAAAAATGACACAGGCCCCTACACAAATTACAAATCTTTAGTGATAATCATTCAAAATATTATCATAGAGCAGTTCAAGGTTGTAAAAAATAGTGTTTCACTATTTATAAAATAAAGCAGAAAAATGTAAGAAATAAAACAATTACATTAGATTGATTTTATTCCAGCTTGTTTTTTGTGTTGTTTTTATTAAAATAGCATGCATGTCTGAAAATCACTGAAAATATAAATAATTCACAGTCTTAAAAAATTCTTCCAAAAGGTTTACATATATAAATGAGACTCTGTGTGAAAGCTCCAGATCAGCATTTTCAACTGGTTTGTCTATACATGATATATAAAGCTACTATAAATAAAACATGCTCAGTTGAAAAAAGCAATAAAGTCAATAGCTGAGGTAAAAAGGCTAACTAAATTTTGTGTGATGTCACTTGTCCATGGTAAGCTGTACTGAAGCTTGTCACATTGTTTGTTTATTCACAGACTATTTTGTAACTGATTTAAGGAATTCAATCAAGCATTTTTTTGCTCGGACGGAGATACTGCGCTTTGTCGAATTTAAGCCTGATTCGGTTAATACTCAGCAGCAGGAATCTCGACAGACACTGAACATTCAGCTATTTGAAAACTTCACAAGCTCTCAGGATGGTTAACACAGAACAATTGGTAAAATGGGTCTCCCCAGACTCCCAAAGCTTGAAACTACATCAGTGCACAGCAGAATGGAGGATAAAATTGTGGTATAGTTGAATGGAGGCGAGGATTTGCCTATACACCAATACCAGTCAGGGAACTTGCCCATTTTCTAGTAATAAGCCTTCTATTAAATTTAAGTAATGTAGCTTGAAGTATTTATTGTACTGTGTCCGGTGGGAGACGATGGGTGAAGTGAAGCCTTAAAATAAGATGCATAAATGTGTTCACTTAGTATTCCTGTCTCGAAAGGGGAGTAGTTATATATTTTCACTGCTGCCACAGAGGGAAGGCAAACATGTCAAGGCGTATTCCATAGCATTTACACACACACACAAACACACACACAAACACACACACACACACACACAACCCTAGGCTCTCTGCTTTCCCTGTAACTATTCTCTTTAATTTCACGCATATTGTGCCTTTTATCTCCTTTGTAACTGACACGCGAACATTGTGCAAGCATGCACATACACACAAATAAACAAAAACAAGGAGCATAGCAGAAGTATAGAAAAATAAGGTCCCTTCTTCTCAACACTTGATTACGAGAATCAATAAGCCTTCTGGAATGGCTGGAATATGCCATTAGGTCTGTTAATGTACTGGTAAACAATGTATTGTTCGGTTTCAGATGCTGGAGCACAGCAATTTAACACCCAGTTTACTACTTACCTCCTGAACACAGCCATATTTATGTGTGTGCTTACTTCTCTCTGGCCATATAATATGTCTAGCCTGTTGTGTCTTGGCATGCGTGAGTTTTTGAGCACTTCCCTATGGCTTCTTTTTGATGGAAGGTGTCTTTATTTCTTTTTCTTTTTTTTCTTTCTGTCTTTCTCACTTTGTTTATTTATTTATTTATTTACTTTTTCTCTCTTTCTTTCTTTCTTTCTTTCTTTCTTTCTTTCTTTCTTTCTTTCTTTCTATTATTGCATTTGTGTGTTCACCCACTTGTTTTCTTATTTCTTCTGTTATCTCACCCAGATGTTGGGGGTTTCTTTGAGGCAGGAACGTTGATCAAGTACAACTTCATGTCCGAAGCAGTTGCGGGAGCCAGTAGAGACACAAAGATTACGACGCACCAGCTGACGCCACAAGAAGTGAATCTGACGAAGGAGGATGTCGCTTTCAGTTTCAGCACATCCAGTGCTCCAGCTATTCTGATGTATGTCAGCTCCAAGACGCAGGACTATCTGGCTGTAGTGTTAAGGCAGAATGGTAAGATCCACACACACACATGCAGTTTGTGGAAGATCACAAGTGAGAAGTCTGCTTGGAGTAATGCTTGTTAGTCCTGCAAAGTACATTTTTAAAGGCTGTCCTTGCAGCACAGTTTGGAAAGTTGTATAATCTCCAAAAATCCTCTTCAGTTAGCAGCCTCCCACTGAGCAGCTGACAGGCAGCAAAATGCTTTGATAAAATAGAAGTAATAAAAATTTGACAGTGCCATCTAGCGTTTCAGCAATTGATGTGCACAAATAAAACCAGAAAATACTCACATTGCTCAGGGGTGCTGCGAAAAATTCTTGGCCCTTCTGCTAACGCAGCGCCCTGAGACAGTAAATATATAATCCCCTGTCAAGCTGTGGGTCCTCTGAATCTTTCAGTGTCCCCCCCCCCCCTCTACTCTTCGCCCCCTTTCTCACCATCACTTCAAACAGAAAAGTTTATTTTGGGCTCAAGTGTTTAGTTCAAGAAAGCAGTGGAAGAAAACAATCACGATTATAATGAACAAAATAAATTTAGAAATGTCTTTTGTGTCATCAAGTAGTAATACACTATCTATAGACTTGTCAGCAATCATGTTCTTACAGCCACTGCTTGAGAAATATAGAAAATTCATTTTATTTATTCAGGTATTTATTGATGTGGGCTCATGCCTATTTTAGAGGAGTGGAAAAGAAGTTGTTGGCATTTGTGAGGTTTCATACAAGCAGATCAAACCATCCCCTGTGTGTCTTCAGGTTCAATGCAGGTGCGGTATAACCTGGGAGGTCTGAAGGAGCCATTCACTATTGATGTGGACCAGCGTAACCTGGCCAATGGACAGCCTCATAGCATTAACATGTCCCGTGTCAACAGAAGCATCACCATCCAGGTACAGACCACACACACGTACATCTGAGCCCTCTGCAACACACACACTTTTACTTTCTGCTATCAAGCCCAAAGACTTTAAGTGTCAATTTCAGTATCCTACTTAAAACCATGGAGTGCAGGGGATTGCCGTGTAGCAACATGCACACAAAACACTTTCCATACACATACTCATTCACAAGTACACAATCACACAAGCCCAGATGGTTTGCAATAAGTCAGAGGGGAGTGCAATGTCCTGTTCTGTCGTCTGCTGTGATGAAACAGCTTGTCCTTTGCCACTGTTAATCCACTTCCAGTAGACAGCCTAAGTATAGCAACAGAGAGAATGCATCGATCTGTGTGTGTGTTCGTATGAGTGCACGGCGCTGTGTGTGCTGGTATTTAAGTGTGTGCATGCGTGTGAGACAGAGCGGGGAGCGTGAATGTTTGCGCATGACAATGTGTTTGTTTGTATATAGTTGTGTGTATCTGTGTGTGTTTGTTCCGGTGCTCTTGATTTTTGTGCAGCTAAACAGCTTTGTGCAGATCAATACAGCCAAGCCTCAGTCAGTAGCTGTCAAGGATGGAGAGAGAATTCAGCTAAACTATTATATGCTTTGTTCAGGGCTAAAATGCCCAGATTTCGCTGCAGGCTGCGATTTAAGGAGGACTCTAAGTGGATGGAAGCCACCTATAAAACCTATTTATTGGTTGCATCCAGGTCGGAATAAATTTGTATTTGCATGGGCAGTTTATGGTTTGCCAACAAAAAGGTTGCTTTTTATAATGACAATCAAACAGAAAAATTGTGAACAGTTTGTTTATGCATTTCCTCCTGTAGAATTTGTAATTTGAATGCCATGTTTGCAGATCCTGTAGTTTGTATCATTTCTGCACACTTGGACTTCTGTGTTCTAAGTGTCACGCATTATAACTTAGATTCAAACGATATACAGTACATCCACATAGTAAAAGAGTCAGATATTCACTTGTGGAGAGCTCACCTCACCCAGAGCTCACCCAAGTTGCCAAAAGAATGAATGGTGTTGTCTAGAGCCACTGACTCACCTCCTCTAACAGAACTGCTGAACTGTGAGGGGAGCTTCATTTGTATAATTTTGTATAAACTTGTTATTAATATTCCAACTATTTGCTTACATTCCGCATTGTTTATTCTCTAAGGATTGTGATACTTACGCTGACATAACCTGTAATTTCCCTTTTGGCCTCAATGAAATTACATCTTATCTGCATTATTATCTTATTCATGGTATCCTCATGGATTACGATCCATGAAAGAAACACTTCCAATTATCTGTAACCCAGGTGTACATCACCTCTATTTTAAGAATCACTGCAGAGAAAAAGGGGGCGCCTTCTGACTAGAGTTTATTTGATTAGATGTAATTGAGAAAGTAAAACGTTTCAGCAGCATGTAACTGGAAAAAAGGAATTAAAGGGAACAGTAAAGTAAACAAGAATAAAAAACATAACCAATCACTGTATTTCCACATTAGAACAAATTAAGTATGTATATGAAGCATGAAAAGACTTTTTTCCTGCATTAGTCTTAGGACATAAGATAGAGAAATATAGAGAGACATTGCGCGACAGTGAATATTTTATTGGTTCTGTGATCCAGATGCGACTCTTTCATGCGATAATTACAGGTGCATTACAGCCCCTTTACTGTTGTTTTCATTAAGGTGAAATAAAATGTTGGCCAGAATGAATCACACTACACTTGCAAACCAAATAATCACTGCACCTCCTCTCCTACATACTGTAAGTCTTTAGCCCTCTCTCTCTGTCTCTCTCTCTCTCTCTCTCTCTCTAAATGTACATGGAGCAATTACCTCATCCATACTGGAATCTCATTACCTACATTCACACACTACAGTGAAAAATTCTGACAGCAAGAAAATTAAACTGAAACATCCAATGGAAATCATTCTCTTTTTCTGTGCAAATCACAACCTGCAGCCGCTGATCACTCCGCTGGGAGCACTTGAACATAACACATCCCTTTTTACTGGCACAGAAAGTGATTGGAGCAACTGCGAGATTCGTTGCTCATCACTCACACACATACTTGATTGCAGCTTAGTTATGTCTAGATTGGAGATATCGATGTTCAGCCCAGTGTTCAGTGTGTGACTGAACTATTAACTATCAAATGCATATCCCCAGTTAACCACTCCCCATGTGCCCAGGCTGTACTCCAAATAACAATCCTTTGAATCTCTTTGTCACATAATGATACGCACAGCACTTAAACATTAGAGAGTGTTAAGAGAATTAAGAGGAACACTGATGGACATGATGTGGTAATTTGGATTTAAGAATAAAAGAAATCAGTAAAGGAACTGTGGGGGAGGATAGAGAGAGAGAAAATAGATGAGGTTTACAGATAGGGCATGAAAAGAAGAGCCTGAAGGTGTGTTAACGAAGATAACTTTGATGAGTAAAACTTTTTCATGTTGCTTGACTGCCTCGGGGCTCTTTTAAAGGTACAAACATGCACTTAATATCCACCCATAAACAGATGTGGACATGCATACCAACAGACGTGCATGCACAAATGAGATTTTGTCAGGTCAACTCACTACACAGGCTTCACACTGCTACACTACAAAATCAACATTATTCAAATTCATCTGTCCACCGCACTTTTCTTCATACCTCCTACCACCTCACTTCTCACACATCCCTGAGGGCTTTTAGTAATATTTTTTTTATTCTGATCAAGCAACCACAACTGTACTCACACTCACACTAATGAGATACGAGGAACAGGATAAATTCAGCTCTGGACAACAACAACAGAAGCAAGACTCGGCAGTGAGTGGGTAGCACCAACAGGTGTTATCAGTCGGTCTGCCAGTATTGCATTGCATTGCACACAGAAAAGTTGTTAATTATCAGACAGCATTTTGAACCATATTAATAAAAAAAATGTATTTCATTGTGTTTCCTAACAGACCCAGATTCAGGAGCAATAGGCATGTTTTGCCGCTCGAGGTGGAAATCACAAGTCACTTGTCATTCCGTTCAGTTCAAAAATTCATAGTCACTGACAATGTAGCTTTTTTTCCATAAGCCAAAGAATCACATCACGATGCAAATGCACTTCAGTACATACATAAGCAAGTGAACGCATCAACGGTCAAAGGCACAAACGCATCATTGTGATTGCACTGTTCAGGAACGATTCAGACTGTCGTCAGTTCGGTAGTATGTTCAGTCTGGTGCTAGTCCAAGTTCAGTTCAATACAAAACTAGCCAATACAAGCACTTATCAGACTCATCAGATTCAAATTTTTTTCTGCAGGTTTCACAGCCTTTTCATAGGTTTGCAACATGGAAGTAATGTACTGTGCATTATGGCTGAGCTGACAAAAGCACACTCTCATGAGTGACAAGCTCCACTGCTAAAAGTTACTGATTCATTCAGTATCAATGGTGATTTAGTATAGTCAGTTCCGTTTTAAGATTCATTGTAAAAGGTTTGTTTGTAAATGTGCTGAACACCTCTATTTGCCACCTGATGTGTTAATTCAACTAAAGCAGCTATAATCAATACTTAAGGGGTAGAGAATCATCACCCAACTGCAGTTCCTCTCAGCTCTATGATGCTTTATTGCATCTCTCAGCCATTGTTTTGGTTTTACAGCCTTCAACTTTACTGTTCTCGATCACTCTCAAGGCTCTGAAACTATAGTTTGTGGATATAGCAGGCAGCTGTTTTTACTGAAAAAGCTCTAAAACCCACTGTACACTGCCAACCCAATACCAAACAGCAATGAGACAAAGTGTCCACCAACAAAGAGTTGATGGAGACTAAAAACAGAGCTACAACATTGAACTTAAAGTCAGTAGGTGGATACAAACTACACATTCTCAATCCCAATTTATCACATATGGATGCTTGGTCAGGACCCCTTGGCGTCACTTATTTCACATTATTTTTCAACATGCAGGGTACACTACAGCATTATTCATCTTTTTATGGTCATGTTTAGCCATTCAAAGCACTTGGTTAAGGTTAGGGAAAGATTGTGGTGTGGATAGAGTATAGTAGCACTTGGACCAACCAAATTGGTTTGATACTATTGATAGTATCATTTGATACCCAATTTTGATACCTAAAGAATAAATGAATAAATCTCTCCAAATAAAAATCTGAGCCAACAAGCATGCAGCAGGCTTGGGCCAAGATCTAATCATGCTGGTGAGTGGCTATTTATTGACACAAACACATTTGAGTGGGTTAAGAGACTGAGCTTAAAAATAAAACTAAAGTAAAACTAAAATGTATATCGTAATGTGTATTGCAATTTTCTTTTTTGTTAAAATGGTAAAAATAAAGTGACGACTTGGGAGTGATACTGCCCCGACACCAGCGCTACTCAAATTAAAGGGATGATAAAGGGTGATAATATGTCAATTTTGCGTTTACAGCTTGTTTCTGTTGTCTCCAAGTAGCCAAAAAATTAGTGCAGGTTTAGATAGTCATTCTAAAACATCTGCATGTTTGACCCGACCGTTTCTATAATGCAATTAACTGCAGCTTCAGCATAAAGGCATTTACAAATTCAGACAACATGTACAGAACTTTACATGAATGCTGAAGCGTTTGAATAATTTATTTTGAATGTTCAAAAGGAATTATCTAAGCTAAAGTGCACACTTGCGAATTACTACATTTGAAATTGGATTGGAAATTATTGCATTATGCATTAAAGCCCAAAATGCCAATTTTGTTTTAACCTTCCATCAGCATTTGTAATTTAACCACCCCATTACTATTTCGCTTATATGCTCATCAGAGGCCTTGTTGCAGCTGCTTTCATCTGAGATATAACAACATGAGTGAGAGGCAGCGATATGAGTCAGATGCAATAAAAGTCAGCCCGCTGGTGGATCAAATTCAATTTCCAGGGTAAAAGAGAGAGCTGAGTGTTTACCTGAGGCTGCCGAGGTCTCAATTCTCTGCTATCAGGCTGCAAATCTTAAAGGCATTTAGACAAGCGACTGTTTAGTTTAAAGACATGGCAGAGAACAAGTGAGAAGACAAACAGGCATGAAGTAATGGGAATCTGAGAGAAAAGGGAACGGGAGAGAAATGGAGAACAAAAGAAAAAGACAGAATGAGAGTCAGCGCGAGGAAAAGGTTGAAAGAAAACAGATGTCGTCTTTAGATATATATAATAAAAAAAGTAGACCCAAAAAATATGATAACAAATATCACTTTTGTGCATTTATTTTATCTAACTTCATATAATCCTGAGGCTTTCTTAGAGGCGTAGATTTGCATATGCATACAAATACCTACTGAAACCAGAGTGTAGTGCAAGAAGCGAGCGTTTGATTTTAAAGCAGTGTGTAAGTGTCTCGTCAGGAGAACTCGCTATCAAAGGCATACCAAGGCGAGATCAAAATAAGTTCCCATCTCTCTATCTCTGACTTTTGCTTTCTCTCAACCTCTCGCACACTGTGAGGGTTTAGAGATGAAAGTGAGGAATCCCTTCAGGCATCAGACATAGCTCCTCTCCTCTTCTCTCCTCTCCTCTCCTCTCCCCTCCTCTCCTCTCCACTGATATTGCTTCTGTGGTTGGTATTAGTGGATTGAATGGCTGGCTAATGAGACAAGACAATCATTCAGTAATTCACTTGATAATAATGTTAAACTATTTATTCAAGTGAACAAAGGAAATTAGCATTTGTTTGCACTTTGCTCCTCCTCCAGATATCATTAAGGAAACAGTGTCGCCACTAAAGTAAGAAGTTCTCACTGTAGTGTAAATTAGTTTAAATATATACAGCACATTGACTAAATTAGATTCTTTTTGAGCACATAGTGAGGGAAATAGATTTCATCCATTGTTAAGTTTCTCTTTATCTAACCTCTGATTACTTTGCTTATGTAAGTTTTATGTAACCTAAGCGGCACCAACAGCGCATCAAGGAGAAAATTGTGTTGTCTAAATGGTTCAGTGTAAAGGGAAAGGATCCCAATAATTGCAGTTGTAATTGACAAAGTTTGGTAAAATGAGGTTTCTTCCCTAGTTGTCTGCCTCTGCGGACCTTTTTTGGGGGTTTCGAGACTCAGACCACCCTCCCTGGCTGCGCAGCCAATTTGTTTTCTCAGATAAAAGTAAATAAGCTGAGCACAATTTAATTGTTCCCCATTATCCCACCCTCCAGTCACTGTGGAAAACAAAACTCACACAATGCTCCACTGAGACCAGGCTTTTGGAATGAATCAAATTAGGATATGCTGCATGTGTGTTTGCACGTGTATAGAGAGAAAGAGGGAGAAAATACTCTGGGGGGGGGGGGTTTCTATATGGGAGGACTCTACTGATTCAAACCTGTAAACAAGAACAACTACACACACACAGATAGATCTCAGCCCTTTAGTGACAGTCTAGCTCAGCTCCCAGCTAACAGGCCACGACAGCTATTCAGCACATCAATGGAACAAATTTCCAGTAAAACGCGCAGTAACAAAAAGTCATTGTTTTCAACCTCACTTTCTCTGGCTGGGGCAGTTGGTGTGCGTTCGGCAGACTGGAGCGTGCTGAGATACAGTTCTCCTGTGTGCAGAGAGAGGGAAGGAAGGAAGATCTTTTATTTCTGGAACACACAGAAACCAATTTGTGGGGTTGAAACACTCCTCGTCAGTAGCACCGGCTGCAGCCTTCAAGCTAATTAGAAACTTCAATGAAACAGCAATAACAAGTTAATTATGTTGCAGGGATATTAAAGTCATGTATTCCCTGCTTCCATCACCCTCGCTGCTCTCATGCCTCCACTGATGTTCTCTGTAAACACGCTGCTGGTTCACTCTCTGTTTTAAGCTCTCAGGAAAAGGCTTTGAACCCACCACAGACTTCAGGAATTGCAGATTGTTAATTAATGTGTGATCATTAATCTCCAGTCGTGGTGAAGAGCTGTTTGTTTAGAGGATCATTGTAGAAGATCACTTTTCAGCTTGCATCCAGCTAAATTAAACAAAAAGGAAAAAAAAAAACAAAATTAACAGCTTTACAAACAAGAGGTTTCCTGTAATCATTTGGTCTGTTGTGATTTCTGCGAGCGAGCATGACAGCGTGCTTTTGGAATAGTTCTCCTATATTTAGGATCTTCTGGTTGGTATTTTTGAACAGGTGTATTTGGTAAACATCACTTAATATGAGGATTTTCATGCATTTTCTCTAAGTTGATAGCGAATGAAAAGAGTAAGATGATCATTTAAATGGGACATTTTAAAGCTTATGTTAAACTTGTTTTTATTAAACGTTTCCTAAAACACGTTTAGTATATTCACATGCCAAATGATTGCATATGTGAGCAGCCTAACTTGTCCTGGCTCTAACATGTGGTGACTATGCCTTCAAATTAAGACTGTAAGAGTTGATAAAATGCATTGTCTTTGAACTGTCTTTGCTCATGATTCGTGGGAGTAATATAAGGGTTTGTTAACAGAGTGGTTATTTAGGGCTTTCTGGGTATTTTAAAACCACAAGGGGGAGCCATTGAGCTTTTGATAATGCTGTGTAGCAGCTTTACAATCCCTGGCAGCAATGAATTACCATTTCCTCTTCATCATCTTGGGTATTCTGCTTAATGTGCTGATGCAGGTCTCAGTCTGGGTCTTTTTTAAAATGCTGTTGTCATTAATTTTAGACTCTCTTTAAAATGCAGATTCTAATAGCTCTCACTCTCTCTCTCCCACTGTTTCAGTTGGATCATTACCCCCCAGTCAGCTACACCCTCCCAGACGCCTCAGACACACAGTTCAACCTGGTCAAGACGCTGTTCTTGGGCAAAGTCTATGGTAAGTGTGTCAGCTTGTCGAAACCTTTTCTGCTCGCAACTCTGTAGAATTCAAACGTTTTCAGCCACGTTCACACTGCACAGAATGTTATTATATGCACACCATACCAATCTGACCCCAGCCTATCATGGTTCTTTTTTAGCATCTCTTTGACTCATGTGCTCAAGTGTCTAATCTTTCTGGAAATAATTTTATAGTCATTTGTCATTTAGACTTTCAGGAAAGTTAAATATATAATAATATTTTATAAATATAAAAATTGGAACTCCGAGTTTATCCACTTGGGTGAAATGAGACAAAAATAATCACAGGTTGTCTGTCACGGGGGCAAGTCAGTTGTCATTGCCCCTTTCTAGAAGGAAAAGCCTGGACCAGCTGTGCAGCTGTTGTCATTTCTATGCTCTTTATGTATGTGTTGAGCTGTATATTCTGTATATGTGATCATTATACTCTATACTATTCCATTTCTACCATTTTTTGCAAAGTTAAACCATCTCAAACACAAATATATAGTTAAATGAAAATAAATAAACAGTTAAATCACATCAAGAGTAGAATTCATTTACAGAAAGTGAACACACAAACAAAATCTCCCCCTCTGCTACTCAATAGACAAGAGGCTGTAATTACACATTGAGTCCACTAGAGGATGGCAGAGGATTGGTGGAGGTGATTAATGCAGAAACTAATCCCAGCTGCATCCATCTCTACTTATATGGATGTCTTTGCACATTTGTGCCTGATAAGCTTATGAAATCTGACAAATACTATGTTAGGACATAACCTGTCTTTTTTATCATTAAAATTACCTTGGTATTTGGTTGTTGAGCATTAAGCTCTCCAGAATCCCCACAGTATTTGACTGTCAGACTAAACCTTTTGATGTTAGTCAGCCACTATTTTGACACATTATTCATAGAAACTACTGGCACTGCAGCGCTGACGCTGATTAAATTGTGATTCATGATCATGTGCATCAGTGTTTTTTCCACTGGACTTATTAAGGTTGTAGGTCTTAAGAAATCCCCACATAATTCTCCCCAATGCCTCAACAATTGATTACCCTAATTACGCTCATTATTAATAGGTAATTACCTTAACCAATTTAGTTTCTCCTAAGTGGTAGCTGTGGTTTATTGCTCGATTTTGGTTGGTTTTATTAGCTTCTTTAATTAGTTATAATGTACCTCTGAAAGATTGTATCTCATTAAATTGAACCTTGCTCTTTTCTGTTCTATATTATTCTTCTTCTCTTTTCCCTTTCTCTCCTCTCATCTCTTTTGTCCTCTACCTCAAGTGGTGCGAAAGTCAGTGAGGTTGAAGTAATGGCTGACTTCACTTACCAGCCAGAACTATCGACTGCTACACACAGCACAAGACCTCCTGGGAATACATGTACACACACAAAACACAGTCATCCATCTTCGCCCAACTAACACAGCATAGATGCTTAAAGGACACACCGGACAAAGTCACTTCATTGGGCAAAATAGTACCAACTCATATAGTCATCCCCTCATATGCATCCTTACACTTTACTCATTAACAGACTCAACTATTAAGTCTAAACATTATAACAGAATTATACATTTGGACAGAGCAAGGCGTATTATATAATAGGTTTAAAAGAGAAAGGGAGTGGATGACAGAAATATTGTGATCAGAGAGAAGGACAAAGCAGTGAGAACAAAAGCAGACATTGGATTTACACTTCTCATCAGATCTGTTCCTCTTCTGTGTTGGGACCACAGAGACAAGAGAGGCTGTCAGACAGCTGAGCTATCAGATTCTCTATTTCTGGGAGACAGAAACACTCTGTGTTTGGAACAGGAAACACGCACGCACACACACACACACACACACACTGATCACAGCGACATCCCCTCTTTCACCTCACAGCCTGCTGATTGTTAGCAGGGCCAATGCCAGAAGGACAGCCAGGGATGAAATCTGGCTGGCCACCCCTGGTGCCTCACACCTACTTGAGTCAGAAAGTGATAGGTGGTTTTAGGCTTTTTAGCATTGTGGATGGATTACTGAATTTCTTGTTGGGGTGATTCAATCAAGCAACCCTAAAGAGTGGCAAAGCGACCACAAAGTGATGCAAAACAACCACAAAGACAAGCAGAACAAGATGCAAAATTAATATCAAAAGAAACAAATGATGCAGTGCCATCATTGTTTGTGGTCTCTCTGCGTCCTCTTTTGTCTGGGTCCAATGTAGGAGGGGTGGGGGACCTTTTACATGTCTGTGTTAATAATTAATTATGTTTAATAATGCACATATTGTTGTCAAAACCCAGGGCTTTAAATATGGGTCTGAATACATTTTTACTCATTTTACAAATGCGCTATTCTTATTGGAATCTGTGCCCCAGTGTGTGTGTATACTCCCCTCACACCCCCACCCCCATTTAAATGTTTCTAAACCTGCCCAGTTGTGGTATGGAATAAGTTGAATAAGTTGAATAAAGCAGATATTTAAAATAGAGAAATACACAAAAAGACAAGTGCAGATAATCTTTCCATAATGTAAAATGTCTGTTCTTTTTTAAACTTCTTTAACTAAAATGCAACACAGTAAAGCAACAATAGACAACTAAGAAAAATGGTTTTAAAATAAAACAGGAAATAATAGAGTCCAGGAGTCAGACGCAGTATAACATGACAGACTCATGTATAAAAATAGATTTAGTGAGATTTTTCTCAGTAATTACACGCTTAGCATCTGTTATATTGTCCTGCAGATATGAGGCCTGATCTTGAATGTCATAGCAATGGTTAGTGTTAGAGCTCAAATGATCAGTTAATTAATCAATTAGTCAATCAACAGAAGGTTAATCGGCACCTACTTTGATCAAATTCATTTCAGTCAGTTAATTGTTTTTCATAGAAATTCTAAACACTCCAAACACATACTTGTGGCTTCTCCAAGGTGATCATTTGCTGCTTATTCTGTTTGATATTGCTGTAGGTTAAATATCCTTGTGACTGGCATTTTGATCAATTTGTTGGTATTTTATAGACCAAACAATCATTCAAGAAAATAATTATCAGATTTATTGATAATGAAAATATTCGTTTATATACCTGCTAAGCCCAACACTTCTAATGCAGACTGAGGTGAATGTTTTATTCCTCTATAAACTGACAACATTCTAATCAGAAAAGGTTGAATGTTTGTAAAATAGTAACCAACAATAATGTTGGGGTCAACATATGCCACTCTGGTTTTGTATGTGTTCATAATGTTTTCAGCTAATTTGTTGTAGCCATAGATTCTATATAAAGATGGACGTAACCTACACGACATCACCCAGAGGTTTCTGAAGAGCAGTTTTGAAGCTCTGAGTGAGCTGCTCCGCCATCGCCATCTTGGCAGTGCCCAACTCTGCCTAACTCCCAGCTAATCCAAAAAAGGGGAGAATAATGGCACAGCTGGGCGTCTGGCTGCCTTGCTCAAAGGCTAACCCGAGGTAAACTCATTTGCTGGTTAATTAGCTAGATAACAAGCTAAGTGAACAAGGCAGGTATGGTTTCACTCACCTCAAAAAACAGGAGCACAGACTGTTAGTCAATTAACCACACAGCGAGTCAGATCATTTGTCCAATATTTGCATGAAAAATTCTCCAAAAGGCACCAGCACCACAATCACAGCGGACAGGTCACATATTATTATCTGAGGTGATGCAGAGCAGACAGCTAGCAGCTAGACACGGAGCGGTTAGCCAACTGTGACGACCCCACCTTTCACTCAAAAGCCACGCCCTCAATTATGCATACTTTTAAGCTTAAATAAGATTGAATTAGGTGAACGATATAAAATATGTACTCCTGTACGGTTGTCATGGAGGTGAAAATAAGCTATAGAGACCAAAACAGTTTTTTTGTACCAGTCTATAAACGTGTTTATTTCTGCTGTAAAGTTGGGCATTTTAACATGGGAATTCACTCACTTTTGGAGCGAGCCTCTCAAGTGGTCATGAGAAGAACTGCAGCTTTTGGCACTTCAGTGTTAGCTTCATTTTTGCTGCTCAGTTGTAGCTGTCAGTGTCAAACTCAAATTCACGGTCATGAGATTCGCAGTGATTGTTCTGGTAATTGTCCTAAATTAGTATTGATCATGAAGCACAAGGATGATTCAGCACATGCAATATACTACTGAAAATTCTACAGCCTGATGTGTGTGTTTGAAGGTTACTGTATCCTTCCTTCAGTACTTAACAAAAGCATATTTATACATATAGAGATGCACATAGTGCCCTTGTATTTTTTTATGCATCTGTGTGTGTGTGTGTGTGTGTGTGTGTGTGTGTGTGTGTAGGTGTAGGTGGGTGGGTGAGTTGATGTATTACGTATGGGTCTGTCCTCCCTAGATCTCTGTATCCCAGTGGAATAGATGGGGGAGATGAGTCATACATCAGCCAGAGCAGCAGGCACACTCCCAACCCAGTTCTCAGTGCTACAAATCTGCCTCTGTGTGTGTGTGTGTGTGTGTGTGTGTGTGTGTGTGTGTGTGTGTGTATGTGCCTGGACTGTATGTGAGTGTGTCTATCCAAGGGAATAGATTCAGAGCCAAAGGCAGAGAGAGAGTAATAGAAATAGTGACACTGTGAAAGTGCTATCAGAGAAAGATGATTATAGCCCAGAGGGTTGGTTATAAAGGACATGTGCATCAATACCACACTAAAATTCTGATTTCTCTCTTGTATTTTTTAGTCCCCTAGCCTTTCTTGAACATGTCGCTTCCTGTGGGTGCTGCCAATTATTTTACACAGGCTTTAAGACTGTTATTTGTATTCAGTGATCTTCTCTCAGGTTCGGCTTTTTCATTTTAAATGGGGCCTTTTTTTCACTTCAAACACACGCTGGCCCTCCAATGGAGTGAGTAGTCGCTTCCACCAGGGCATGACATGACCCAACTGTCTTTCTTGTAAAGTACTTAGTAATCGTAAAGAAAACAGCCCTATGAATAAAGATTATTAGTAGTATTAAAAAT